ATGAGGAAATAAGGGTGGCATATCAAGGAGAGGTGTACCATGGGATAAGGGTGGCATATCAAGGAGAGGTGTACCATGGGATAAGGGTGGCATATCAAGTAGAGGTGTACATTTGGATATAAGGGTGGCATTTGTATGTGTGATTGTATGATATAACTTTTTCTATTATATCCTTTAAGATTATCGTGTTCTGGAATCTTTATTTCTTTGTGATTTAAAGATTTAGGATCAATGTTCTTATTGGAAATCATTGTCTGGATGTTATTGAGAAGAAAACATCAGGTTTGGCTTGAAATTTTATTTAAACCTTGTTTTGATTTGAAAAGGTTTTAAAAGTGGCATTATGTGAAACCTGATTGGTTATGAGGTATGGGATTTATATAGCTGAAAGCTTTGCTTGAAATGTGGAAAAGATCTGGTATTATGTTCTTATTTATTCATATATTTGTTATATATATGAAATGTTGTTTTCCATAAAGATTTTGGTGATTTTCACCCTGCAATAACATAAATAGGGCATCTCACTAGACCTTTCGGTCTAATCCTCGTTTTGTGATTTTAACTATGTGTTGCACGAAGTATGGAAGGTAAGGGAAAGGGGAAAATGTGATATTTTCCTATATGCATTTCTACTTGAAGATTTGTTTTGATGTACAGTTTTGATTAATTAGTACAAGTGACCTGAATGGTATGATTTCCTTATGTTTGGTCATAATAGATTCTTGTACTAAGGGACATGAATGGAATGATATCATGTGTTTCTTTTGTATGAAATATGTGTTACATGCAATGTGTGGTTTGGGGGTGTAACACCCTATTTATCAACTTTATCTCAAATCTCAATGAACATGTGACCCCTTTCATCCATGAACATGAAAACATAAATAAACTGAAATGGTTATAATTACTTGATTACCCATGATTCGCAAGACAATGTTCTACTTGCCATATTATTTTCCCCAACTTTGGTTGCACCTTGTTTGTTTAAACAACTTTATATTGGATGGATTCAAAATTAATGCAACTTAGGGAAATCATACTTTGAACTCTTGTCTGATATTTGTTGAATTATGCTGGAGCCTGAAAGCTTCTTTTGTTACAACTCTAACGGGCCCTTTTTCTTTTTTGTTATTGTTCTTTTCAACACAATCATAAACAAAGTTAGAATTGTAAAATCAGTTTTTTTTTTTTCAAATCATACTCTTTTCTAACAGCTCCTTTTTTGCAAAGGTTCCTTCCACATACACAAGTGATTTCAACATTGACATTCTTAAAACCAAAATGATATTGCGATCTTCTATTTTTTCCTCATCAGAATATTATATTCTAACAACGTCAGAATCCAGCATTCAAAGTTGTATTATAATCAGTTTTTTTTTTCATGGAATGTAGCACAATCTAATAACTATTATGATTACTTTGGTGTAACATTATGTTTAATTTTCATGCTCATTATTGGTGGTCTTTTATATCAGCAACTTGCTTCCCATGGGTTGTTCGACGTGCATGTGAAGGCTGTTGGTGATACTCACATTGATGACCATCATACTAATGAAGATGTAGCCCTTGCCATTGGAACGGTGATATTACAATGCATAGCTTTGTATTTAATGTGCTCATGTTGCTTCCATAGTTCAGCATCAAGGATTATTGTTATTTTGCATATATCATTTTGACCAAAAAATTCTTTTGAAGAACAATTTTTTTTACAAATGTTTACTCTTTTTGCCTCTTGCCGCATAGAGTGTTACTAAAAACTTTTTTTCCTCCAGGCATTGCTTGGTGCGCTTGGTGATAGGAAAGGAATTAACAGGTTTGGTGACTTCACAGCTCCACTTGATGAAGCACTGGTACATGTTGCTCTGGTAAGTGTCAATTGCATAAATATTATTGAAACAATAATAAACAATAACAACAACAAACAGTAATTAGTAAAGCATGATTTACCGTGTTTAGTGTGAGGTGGATGGTTCCAATACTCAAGACCAAAAAAACATGATTTCACTTTTAACTAGTAGGGCCATATTAACATCACCTCTTTGAGGCTCTAAAGGTTGCACATGTTTGCATAAACTATTTGTAGAAAAATAAAATCGATGCTGGTACATCTCCATGTTGCTTGCAGATGCTTCAAGAAGTTTAAACTTCATATGAATAGAGTTGCTATAGCATATCTTATTTATATTTTGATTGTATTTCATGTGACATATCTTTCAATTTGAAGTATTTGTTCATATCACCTCCAAGTTTGTGCTTGTGTCAAAATTCTCATGTGATTTCCAATCTGCAAGTTGGCACTGTTTTATGCATGGAGTGAACAAGCATTTTTACGGTAAAGTTGCTTTGTTGGTTCGTCTGATGTCCCTTCTACTTGACATGTTGGTAATAAATATAAATCTCGTATTTATATTTATAAATGATGAGTAGTATCTAGCAATACATCATCGCCACCCAAATAACAAGAATCTATGATACAACAAATTGTCGGTTTGTAGTCAATTTTAGTTTACACATTTAATTCTTTTGTGCTTGATGTCCAGATTGGACATGAGACATTTAATGTGTCATTCTCGTTATGTCCAATCTTTAGTTTCTTGATTTCTTAATATACTGATAAAACAAATCATGATATCTCATATCAATTATCTGAGCATGCCTTTTCTTAGTATATATTTATCAAGGGGCCCAGAGACATCACTCCCTTCATATAGGAGGGACAAATCCTATCTCGATACATGCTAGTTCTACCATGTAATATATAAAATACCCTTGATAAATAGTGAGATCCCTTTTTCTATGTCATTGCAGGGTGAAAATCACCAAAACTTATTTAAAACAGCTTTTCATATATATAACAAATATATGAACAAGTAAAACATAATACTAATACCTTTCCAATTCCAAAGCTAAACGCTCAGACTTTATACCCAAACCCAAATAGGTTTGAACCAACCAGGTTTCACATAATGCTATTTTTAAACCTTTTTAATTAAAAACGATGTTTATTCAAAGCTTCAGGCCAAATCCTGTTATTAACTTCTTCATAACCTCTAGACTACGATTTCCAATAAAAACCTGGATTCCAAATCTTTAAATCACAAAGAAATAAAGATTCCGAATCACAATAATCTTAAATGATATAATAGCAAGAGTTATATCATACATCACACATACAAATGCCAGCCTTATATCCAAATGTACACCTCTCCTTGATATGCTACCATTATCCCATGGTTACACCTCTCCTTGATATGCTACCATTATCCCATGGTACACCTCTCCTTGATATGCCACCCTTATCCCATGATACACCTTTCCTTGATATGCCACCCTTATTCCTTCATCAAATCATTTCACAAAATATCTCCAATTAGAACAGACCGTAGTCATAAATGTCCTAATGGAATATCATTAGTTCAAAATCATCTTTATCAAAATCCTCATTCTTTATCATCATAAAAGATCATTATAATAATGATTTAATTGAACTAACATTTTAGTCAAGGTACAAACATCTTTAATAATTTTGGTCAACATAGACTTGGCTGGACTTCACCTCCGGTCAAATCTTGACCGATATACTAATCTGGACAACACTAGATCCTTTGTCCGATTTACAAATCCGGACAACGCAAATCCATCTGCCCGATTTACAAGTTCGGACAGACTCAATATTAACCCGATCAAGCCTTGTCCGGTTTACATTTAAACTTGGCATTACATCATTCAGACTATAAACAAATCGGGCAGCCTTGATCATATTCCTACTTCTCCGTTCAATATCCTTGTCCGATTTATATATTTCAAAATCTCACTAACTCTTTAATTTGATCAATACTGTAATCGATTTAAAACTAAATCGAACAACACATGTCCGACTTAAAATAATCCGGACAACACTTGTCCGATTTAAAGCCAAATCTGGGTAAACTTTCATAACTCAAATCAATTATGCAATTCAAAGTACTTTTAAGACATTTAACCATTCACCTTTTGAAACCCTTTTGAAATCCTTTTAAATCCAACTTCAAATATCCAGTCAATAAGCAATCCGGACAATACTTCTCAAATTCCAAAGGAAACAGAAAACTTTCTTATGAAGCCTTTGCTCCATATTTATACCCTTCCTAAAATGGAAGGCGGCTAGGAGCCTTTATGTATATGCATGCATCACATGCATTCTTAAGCATACATATTCTATTTATGCATGCATACACATATATACTTCACAGATAAACCCATGCATGTATATAATAATCATGCACATTATCACATTATGCATACATACCTATGCATAAAATTCACATATTTGTATGATCAAATATAACAATTTATCATGCTGTCACATAAGCATATAATAAATAATCACGTATTAGTTACCTCAGGTGATAACCAAGACCCGGTTATCACAATGCAGATTCATAATCTCTATATGAATCCCTACATATGCTAGTTATTATCATATTACTTCGACCTTAAACCAGATATAATATTTAACTAGGGACATTTAGAATACATTATTCTAAGGTTATTTATTATGAATAATTAAAACACAAAATATAATATAAACATAATAAAATGGTAATGCCTTTTATTTATTTATTAATTTCATGAAACAAAACTTAAAATTACAATCATCTTATGATTGGTTTTTGGACATTCACTAACATCCAAATCTTCTAAAAAATCGACGTTAGAAGCGGGTACCATCAAATTAGAACGCGATAAGGGGATGAATGGAAAATCGCTTTTAAAACAAGGGATGGTTTATATGAATGGTTGGTCATGCCATTCGGGTTATCTAATGCACCTTCTACTTTTATGAGGTTTATGACATATTTTAGAATCATGTGTCAGTTATGTTGTAGTATACTTTGATGACATCCTCATCCACTCTAAATGTATGAAAGAGCATTTGGTCCACTTGAGGAGATTATTTGATGTTCTCAGAGAGCAGAAACTATATGAGAACTTGAAAAAGTGCAGTTTTTGTCAAAATAGCGTGGTGTTTCATGGGTATGTAGTGACAAGCAACGGGATTGAGGTGGATTGAGGAAAAGTTGAGGCAATCACAAGTTGGCCGGTACCCGCCAACTTTTATGATATAAGAAGTTTCCATGGCCTCGTGTCTTTTTATAGAAGGTTCATAAGAAATTTCAGTACCATCATGGCCCCTATTACCGAGTGCCTCAATGGAGGGAAATTCATATGGACCAAGACAGCTCAAGAAGCCTTTGAAGCTGTTAAATTGAAAGTAACTTAATCTCCTTGTCTGACTCTCCTCGACTTAACTAAGCCTTTTGAAGTGGAACGTGATGTTTAGCGTAGTAGGAACTGGTGCGGTATTAAGCCAAGAAGGGAAACCCATTGCCTTTTTTAGTGAATCTGAATGAGGGCAAACACAACTATAACACTTACGACAAAGAATTCTACGCCATCTATCGAACTCTTAACCATTGGAACCAGTACTTGTCATGCAAGCCTTTTGTCCTTTACTCTAGTCATGAGGCATTGAAGTTCATCAACTGACAACAAAAGTTGAATAAAAGACATGCTATTTGGGTTGAGTTTCTTCAATCTTATAGCTTCGCACTCAAGCATAAGGCTGGAAGCCAAAATATAGTGGTTGATGCGTTGAGTCGAAGACACCTTGTTGAGTTCAATGAGTATTCAAGTTACTGGATTTGAAACGATGAGAGATTTTTATGAAGGGGATCCGGAATTTGGAACCATTTGGCAAAATGCAAAGCAGGACCAAAGGGAGATTATTTGGTGCATGATGTGTATCTTTTCAAAAGAAATAGCTTGTGCATTCCTCAAGGCTCTTTAAGACTAACAGTTTTGCAGGAAGTTCATGGAGGCGTGTTAGGTGGTCATTTGGAAGAACCATAACGTCGGTTTTAGTTCGAGCAAATTTCTTTTGGCCGAAGATGGAACGAGATGTAAACAAGTTTGTGGAGCAGTGCACCACGTGCATAATGGCTAAAACTCAAGCAAAACGAGCAGGCCTCTACACCCTGTTACCGATTCTGATTGCACCTTGGCATGAAGTTTAGACTTTGTTTAGGGCTGCCAAGGACGCAAAGGCACAATGATTCCATCATGGTGGTGGTTGACCGTTTTTCAAGGACGTCCCACTTTATATCATGCAATAAAATTAGCGACGCTTTCAAATTGCTGACTTATATTTCAAGGAGATTGTTAGATTACACGGCATTCCAAGAAGTATCGTAAGTGATAGAGATGTCAAGTTCATGAGCCATTTTTGGAGGACCTTATGGAGGAAGCTGGGAACGTTGCTTTTTTCAAGTGCCTATCACCTGCAAACTGATGGACAAAACGAGGTAACGAATAGGACACTTGAAAATCTACTTAGAAGCTATGTGGGAAAAATCTACGACAATGGGATTTGTTGCTACCTCAACTATAGTTTTCTTATAACTGGTCAGTTCATCAAACAATAGGCAAGAGTCCATTTGAGTGCGTATATGGGTTGCAACCAATTGGACCCATGGACGTAGCCCCAAAGCCAATAATTAAGGGCTTTAGTGGAGATGCTGAAATGTTAGCCCAGGACATCAAAAAAATTCATGAAGTGCGTGCAAAGATTGAAAATCAAAATGCTCAATATGTCAAGCAAGCCAACAAAAAGAAAACAGTCGTGGAGTACACCCTCAGAGACTTAGTATGGGTTTATCTAAGGAAAGATTGGTTTCCTCCACGAAGTTTGGGAACTGAAACCAAGGGTAGATGGACCTTTCAAAATATTGGAAAGGATTGGTGAGAATGCTTATAAAGTTGAGTTGCCGGAAGGATATGAAACATCGCCAACCTTCAATGTTAAAGATCTACGACCTTATCATGGAGAAGACTTGAGGACAAGTCTTTTTTCCCAACTGTGAGGGATTGATGCAAGTGCAATAGATACAGAGTCGGACTTGTGTGCAACTATGTGTGGCAACACTAGTACAACACTTACACAAGTCAAGACCGTTATATTCAATAAAGACCGTTAAAATTAAGTGATCAAGAAGTCCTAAATTTATTTGTGGTTTTGAAGATTAGATTTTTTTAAAAGTTTCCTTATTAAGTTTGGTTATGTAGTTGGTTATTATCTTTTGTTCTTATCTCCTTATCCTAGAAGGTTAGTTATTTTTCAAGGTTTCCTAAGCATGTTGGTTTCATCTAGTTCCCTAAGTTCCTAGGATTTGTACAGGGGTTTGGCTTTGCCTATAAAAGCCCTTTTGTAAGAGCTTTAAAATTTCTGAATTTGAGTGTGCTCAATTTCGTTTCCACTTATCACAAGAGATGAGGGCCTTTTGTGTGGCGTGTCAACCTTATCCGAAGTGACCCTTGGGTGGCGGTTAATCCTCTTCGACTTTTTGAAGACCTTAACGACACTTCAAACGCGAGAGTCTGGTGTTGTCAGACTGTATGCAGGAAGTTTTTGGGGAAACAATAACCAGGACAAGGATCCTAGGATCCCTTAGGCATCATACCCAAGAAAACCTAAGGCCAGCTCATCTAAGGGTTGATTGTCTCATAATCTATGATGTGAAGAAAACTTTTGCTCTCTCAAAATTCATTTTATTCCTTTCGTAGTTAGACACCCTTTCATCCTCCTTGTTGGATGAAAATTATAATTTCTGAGTGTCAAATGTGATTGCTGTCAGGTTTGGAGCCATTGCAACCCAAAAAGAGTGTCAACTGTGTCAAGTTGAAGATTCTTGTGGATATCTGGGACTTTGAATCACCAAACCTTCATTTAGCAATCAACTGCCTGACTTCTGTAGATTCATAGTGAGATTGACTGAGGCAAGCATGACATCGTACATAAAGTCACATTGGACATATTCAAGTGGTGTTTAGTTAGAATCCATACCACAGAGATGGTGGCTGGAAGGTTTCTATCAACTTGGTCTTTATTCACTTAGCAGCTTGAACATCCAGAAAGTTTCCTTACTCCTACCATAGAACCATATCTGCAATAGCCACCACCAACCCCACCACCCTTGTAGTACTACTGGGCTATTGGCTGTATTCCTAGAGAAGGGATATGATTTTATGTGAGAGTCGGCCACTGTCTCTTTCTTTTTGTTTCTTGTTTTCCTCTCTTCCCCTTCAGATGCCATCATAAAAGGATGGGGTCTCTTAGTCTTAAACTTTAGTGTGCAATTCATCATGGGAAAAACACAACCCCTACTTTTTCTTTTCTACAACCTACTCTATGGTAAGGGTCTTGATATGTAAAGCTTTAGCCACTCCAGTTTCTTCCTCAGTCACATTCTTGATTTGTAATACAGGCTTCTTGTTTGTAAGTGAACTTGGGAGCATACCTTTAGACATTAACGCTTCAGTTCTTATCCTGGCATCCCCTTTAGGTTCTTCTACCTTTGCCAACCTAATGGTTTGTTCAAGGCTAGTAGCTTCCCACTCTTATTACTTCCAACCTTGCCCCTACTTTAAGATCACCAACAAGGCTATCAATGAAGAAAGACTCGTGGAGGACCAGGTTCCTTATATTTTCCTAATCCTTGCCTCCTTCAAACCTTTGTCTTTGTCGTCCACACTCCCGGGCTGGTGGAGGTTTTTAAGCTCATTACTAGGGTTTATTTTCATGCAGAATTTGGCTAACATCTCTGCTAACAGCTTTCCCATGCTAAGCCTGGAAACATTCAGTGCACCATCAAACTATCATTCAGCTTCCCCTACTAAGGGGCCGTTTACCCAACGGTTACCCTGTAAGCGCTTACTAGGAAGAGTCCACACTTTCATTTAACTTACTGGGTAAGATTTTAGTTCATTAAAATGACATCATATGCAAGATTTATCCGGTAAGCGCTTACCCGGTAAGCGCTTACCGGGTAAGAGTCGTTACTCTCACTTGCCGGGTAAGACTCTTGGTCTTTGCATCACTCTTACTGGGTAAGATTGTCAATTCTTGTCATGTTCATCCAATAAGGTAAAGTGATCCACTAAGCACCTACCAGGTAAGTGTTTAGTAAACGGCCCCTAAGTTCGTGGTTGCCAAATGCTATTTTTGTTCCTCATGTACCCTGTGGACTTGGGATAGTTTGTTCACTTTCCAATTGAAGATCTAGGGCTCCCTCCCCCCCTTTCCCCCCAAAAAAAAAGAGGGATGTGTAACTTAATACCTTGAGAAATGTTTATTTCAGATCATATCTGCTCATGTGGACATTCAATACTCCTACGGAGTGGTGTCCTGCCACCATAGTTTCTATTTCTTGCACAATATGTTCTGAAGGCCTTTCTGCAAGGGCAGTGACTCTTGCATTTGTCTCTGCAATTTCAAAATGATTTCATTTTGCTCTTGGAATTAGGATTCTAGGTTGCACTTTTGGTTATGGAAGCCACTTTTTTAAAGATCTGATACCAAATGCAAGGATTTGGTGAAGGGAATCAAGAACAGAGAGGGAGAAAGATTGTATAGGATTAAAGAGAGAAATTTTAGGGATAGAAAATTGATCATTCATTCCATGCACTGCAATTACAGACTCGATTCTTTTTTAAAAACGGACAGATGTCTTAAAAGCTTTTCCTGCCCAAAACTCTTTTACAGCTATCTAGTAAGCTCACATATATTTACAATCTACCCCCTCAACTACATGTCTATACAAAAGCCAAAAGCATTGAATGCATTAATCTTTACTAGCTATGTTATAGGTTTTCAAGCATAAGATCAGATACCATGTAAGTACATGAAATTTTCATGCATGCGCTTGTTTGTGTATCTATACCTCTGTGCTGCTTAATTTTCTCCCTAATTTCATTGTTGGTTTATCCATCTTGTGCAAACACCATATATGCGCTTATAATAATTATTCTTGTAGGATTTATCTGGACGGCCACACTTAAATTATGACTTGCACATTCCTACCGAGAGAGTTGGAACATATGACACACAGGTAATCATTTCTCTTCAGTACCCTACATTATTTTTCTATACCAATCGAACTTGTTATCACAGTGAAACCTAAATTACAAGGTCCATAGATAGTAATAGCTTTTTGTAATTTGCATATGCTTTTATTGAAATGCATCAAATGTGTAATGAATGACTGAATGTGATACTAACTAATTTAGCACAACGGTTTTATAGGCTTGACAGTGGTATTTCTTGTTTTGAACAACTATGGCAGGAAAAGAACACATTTTTCATTTTGATTCTCTTTTTTACCCCAATTCTTTCCTGGAAGAAGAGATCTCCCAAGAATATCCAAGAGATAGAGAAGATGCTAGAGGAAGGAAATTTATAAAATATTGTACTACCTCCATCCTGAAAAGTACTACATTTCTAATTTGGTTTTCCTCGGAAACACATTTCTATTTGTGGAAAGATCCCTTTGCAGGTTCACCTATTTGTCCATTAGCAACAATTGCTACCCCAAAAAGATGAAATACTTTCCATTTTGGGTTGTCCCCAGAAATGCAACTTTTTTTTTTGTTAGATTTCAATCCAAAATATACCTATTTTTCCATTAGCAATCATCAGAAGATAGTTGTGCCATTGGTTTTTCTCATCTTGAGGGGGCATTGAGGTAGTTGATTTGGTTATTAATCAAACACTCTCAATGTGACAAGTCAAATGGTTCATATTTTGGGGATGGAGGGAGGAGATGCAATTACTCAAGTCCCAGCATAAGTGGCGTGGTTGACCACATGTCAAAATGTCATTCATCTGTTTATACAAATCATGGGAAAAAAACAACCCTCTGGTGTTCTCTGAGTTTTTGCCAAAATTAACCAGTCAAGCTGCTCATGATGATGAACATTGTTGATCAAACAGTAGTAGGCATCTTAAGTTTTGGTAGGTCATGCTTGGATATATAGCTTGCTTAACTAGGTATTATTTACAACTGCAATGATTATTTGTGCATGATTAACGAAACAAATCAAATTGTAGAGCAATTAAGATTGAATAGATTCTATTTTGATTACGTAGATTCTACTGGAGAAGCTTCTAAATTATTAGTGTATCAAAGTGATGTTTTTTGTAGCAATAATATCTGCAATAAATTACAAAGTTAGCCAGTTAATGGAGAAGTAACATCAATATACTACTGACGATTTTGTTAAGCACAGCTTGTGGAGCACTTTTTCCAGTCGTTGGTCAATACATCTGGAATGACACTTCACATCCGGCAGGTAACTCGAGTAAATCCTGATTACACTGGCATTCTGTTCTTTGTGTGGATAACTTTAACCACTTCCGTAGGCGATGAATTATGTTTATAACTTTGTGAACATGATTCATCTGGAAACAATCTATGCATTTAGTTGATCTTTTGTTAATTCATTTATCTTTACCATCCTTAATTACACCATTGAGCAATATAATTTTTAATCAGTTTCTATTGAGCATTTTCTTTTCGTCATATGAATGCAGCTTGCTGGGAAAAATTCTCACCATATAATCGAGGCAACATTCAAGGCATTTGCAAGAGCTCTTAGACAAGCAACAGAATATGACCCACGACGTCGTGGGACTGTGCCAAGGTTTGTACTGATGCATGTTTATAAAGAATTCATAATTATTTGAGAATGTTCTACGCCATTTCTTCAATAGACAAAACATTTATTATCTTAGTAATTTTTAAGCCAAAGGGGCACTAAAAATACTCGGGCTTCCTTCCCACCCACCAAAAAGTAAATTTTACTTGGTTATGATCCAATTGTGCAAGGGAGCAGGTTATCTATTAAGCATATGTTATTAAAACTCAGTTAACCAAAAAGTTAACTTGATTTCATGCAAAGGACATCGATAAACAGAGACAATATTCTTGATTAGGTGATTCAATGGGGAATGAGACGAGTTATAATAGGAAATTTAGACAGAGAGGATGCAGATGTTAGGAGAAAGAGAGGTAGACCTAGACTGAGATGGAGAATGGATAGAAATGAGGTTGAACAAGTGGAATAGACGAAAGGAGTTGGAAAGAAATTCGAGAAAAGATGTAGACCACAATCAATCTGGCTAGCATGTTGTAGTGATTGCGAATGGGCAAATAGGTAAACTTGGAAATAAATCTTTCCTGGAAAGGGAACAGTTTCTTTTGGACAACCCATCTAGAAAGCGTCGAATTTTTTGGGCGGAGGGAGTAACATCCTAACTATTAACTGGTTTCCCAAGTCAAAACCTGAACCACAACCACAATTAAGCTAAAAATAATATTAAAATATAATCCAACTACAACCAGTCAACCATCCGACCACATGGATAGCCCTCAATCTGATGAAGCCTGCCTCGGGCCTGAATACCTATTTAGGGGAAGAAAGAATTGCATGAGAGTAACTAAACCTATAAATGAGTAACATGAAAAGAAATGCAGTGAGAAAAAAGTAGTAAAATTTCAAGAAGGTTATTGATGCTTACAAGCAAATACCATATCGACTGTAAAAAAAACTGAAAAGCAACAAAGTTTTACAAGCATAGAGATTGTCCTTGATCTAATTAGAGTAGGAACCATTAGTCATCTCATGGTTATTTGTAGAAGGCATCTCACTTATCCCATAAACGTATGATATGCATAATTTTGGTAAAAGGATGATTGGTGTTGGAGTTTACAATTTAATGAACTTCGTAGAGTTGCAATGATGAAGTTCACAATCTAGGCTTTTTGTGCTTTTTAACAATTACAGTTGGTTTGAACATCAAGCCAAGTATATTCCATCCCAAGGTGCAGGGGAGGTAAGAAGTATGCGACCTGACCTCCACCCGAAGGAGTAGAGCAGTTGTTTATGTGAAGACCTCTGGCCTGTGCATAGTGTGTAAAAAAGGATAAAAGAGTGTTTAAAAAAATTTGCGTAAAAAGAACATAAAGAAGAAAATTCCATAAAGACCAACTTAGAAACAAGAAAGGTAGTGTTAAAATTTGAAAATCGAGTTATAAATAAGCAAACAAGATCAAACAGACAAACCAAAATCCTAACCGAGGTAGGAAGGACTACACAACCCTAATCTAACCTAGGATTCATGGGTCTAACCTACGGCTCACTAGCCCTGTCTTCTACCAATCCAGATTCTAGATTCTTTTCCCCCATCTAGGTCTAGTATGCTACCAATCTTGAAAATAACTAACAAATACCCACCTTATTGAAATAAGTTAAATAATTACAAAAAAGGAAATTATGGAATGATGCCGAAGTCGGTATCAATGAAGAGAGTAAGTAAACTGAGAGCGGATAGAAAGTCTTGTTGAAATGGTTATGCTGAAAAAGAACAACTATTCATTATTAATATCATTAAGTAAACAATTATGAACTGGAAAATAAATTTATTAGTAGAAAGATAAAACTTACGTCGGTTGTATATGAATTAATCGAGGAAATCGATACAAATACAGAGCTTAGAATCAATGGATGGCAAAACAACATATAAATCCATACCATGGAAGGAACTCCAAAAACTCATAAAAAATGTTGACTAATCTCACTAACATTGAACTCGGCGAAAATGAAATGATTGAAAGATGAGATTATTAAACTCAAGGTCCTCTCCTATAAGGTTTCTTTGAAGCCATCTTTATCCCCTAAGCCCTGCCTCACTATCTGAGAATTAGATGCATGGGACTAAGAAGGCGACTGAGCCAGAGTGGGTCAGCAGTCGGCCTATAGCCATCCCTATGCCATGCTTGGGCATTCATGGCTAGGGCTATCTAGTTCATCAAAGTGGTTTCTCTATTGTGCTCAACATACCTTGGCCATGTTTGGCAACCATAAGCTAGGTTTTTTTTAGCTTATTGAAAGCTAGCTTTTTGAAAGCTACTTCAAGTAGCTTTTCAACAACTCCAGGGGTTTGTATCCATTTTTTTTCAAATTATACCTCTTATATTTTTCCAAACTACTTTTTCAATATGTTCATTTAGGACATTTTAGATTGTCATCTAACGTATCAACTAGTTATTCTTAAACATGACTATTTTATCAGCTAACTTATTAGCCAACAACTAGCTTTTAATCTAACACTCAGCTTGTCGACCAACAAGCCTTTGTCAAACATAGCCCTTATCTTCAAAAGGACAGCCAAGACCCTCAAGATGAGCGATGTTATGGTCATAACTCATAAATCATTTCCCAACAGGTTCTCATTTTATTTTATTTTATTCATCTGTCTTGCTTTCATTTATGCAGCTCAAAAGGGGTGTTATCCCGTTCCTGAAAAAACACGCTTTGTGGATTGTAGTAACTAAAATGGGTAATCTTTTTTCTTTTTCTAAATACATCTAGTTTCTTGATCATGTATGTTGTTTTGACCGCAATAACTATTGAATTCTGCAGATTTTGTTTTTGGTCTTGATCCAAACCTGTTATATCTATCAAGCAAAAGAGAACATTGTTGTTATACATCACAAACATATTCCATGTTTCCAAATGTTGCAGGGGGGAGATATCAATGTAAAAGAGACTCGAGAGTCATAACTCATGTTATGAATCAAGTTCTTGTGGTGTCACTACTTTTATGGAGGATTTTCAAGCTAAAATTGTTACTTTGGCCGAGTGTACGTTCTTGTTATTTTTGCTATTATTGAATAGTAAGCTATACAAAGAATCGATTTTGCAACATTATGTTATAACTGGGGGTGTTTGGGTCTGTTTGTATGCACCTCTACTAAATTTATGGAGCCCTGAAGTTGAGTCGGGTTCTAAGGGGCTCCAAAAGGTTCTAACTGGTAACATCTTGGATTTGGCATCGACAACTCTATCAACCACTCATCAAAAGGTAGTATCCCGAAAATGCCTTCACCGACACACGAGGCTCCACTAAAGCCTAAGGAGCCCCACTGTTACGGAGCGAAACATGTGTAATCGTAGTGGATTAGCAAACAGTCCACAGTGGACAACCCAAGTATACACTGGTCATTGTGATCATCACAACAGTAATAAAGTTGGTAAGAACAAGTATTGTATCCTCAAGGACTAGACAATCAAGACAATATCGTTTTCATGAGCATCCTTTTACAAGTTTCAATTAGAGAGGAAGCAAATAAGTTGGATTTAACAAAGTTCTTATAATGAAAGGAGGAGATGTAGTTATGATTTCCATAGATCTTACATTAAATACTTGATCTAGAAGAGTGGTCATTGTACTGCGTAGACTGGACACTCTCTTTTGAGAGTTCCGGTCACAACTAATACTCGCACTTTCTAGTTAAAGTCTCTCTCTCTCTCTCTCTCTCTCTCTCTCTCTCTCTATATATATATATATATATTGGGGTTGGTTCAAATACTAACCAAGATTTTTGTGTTAAGTTTGTTAACCAAGCTCAACCAATCATATTCCATCTTTTCTTTAGGTTCACATATAACTCATATATTAATGACAATGATAATTAAGTAATTTGTTATTTATGTAACTCCCAAATCATTAATTGAGAGTTACAAATATAAAAATCTCAATAATTGATGACTATGTAATATTGATATTTTTTTATATGTGTTTATGTTTTGTAATTTCGATTTATTCTATCCATAATGATATTGATTTTTTAATTGTTAAAGAATTTTCGATTGTAAAGATTTCGATATCGTCCGAGTAATATGGATGAATCTATTGGAAAACAAATCGACAACAATGAGAATGAAAAGGTTAAAATCGTCTATGACTACAATAGGAATTTGAATTCATATGTAATTGTTAAAGAATTGTTCACAAATGTTCATATTGTGTTCATATGTACACTAGCTGCATATCTCAACATTGGCTTGCTCCTGAATATGTTCATAATGAATGAACTATTGTTCACAAACTGTTCATATTGTGTTCATATGTACACTAGCTGCATATCTCAACATTGGCTTGCTCCTGAATRTGTTCATAATGAAKRAACTATTGTTCACAAACTGTTCATATTGTGTTCATACCTGTTTTATTTATTTATTTACTTTCGTGTAACAACTATTCTTATTATATTCATATTGTGTTTATAAATGTTATACAGTCTAAGTTCATATATATGTCAATTTTTGTTCGTATTTGACACAATGGTTCACACACACACACACACACATATATATATATATATATATATGTGTGTGTGTGTGTGTGTGTTCATATGTTTCTTACATTAACAAAAATAAATTAATAAAAATAATGAGAATTTTTTATTTTGTAACTCCCAATTAATGATATGGGAGTTACATAAAAAAGAAAATTACCTAAATACATATGTTCTTTGAAATTGTAAATTTAATCACAATCCTTTATTGTAAGAATCAATGGCCCAGATTGGTTAACAAAGTTAACACAAAAATCTTGGTTAGTCTTTGAACCAAACTTTCTCTCTCTCTCTCTCTCTCTCTCTCTCTCTATATATATATATATATATATTTAACTTTACCATTTTATTAATGACAGCTCTTGGTGAACCCTCTCGAGTTTCCATGGAATGTGTATAAACAAATGCTCGGTGTGTTTTTAAGGCACTAGGTAGCTTGCCTCTACTCCATGTGCTTGGAGTTCTCACTATTCAAACCTAACTCTCGTTGGCGTCATAATAAATCTCTCGAACTCCCTAGCATTACCTAAGCTCGTGTCACTACGTTCTGCCCATTTCTGGATCTAGAACTAGACTCTAGGCACTTTCAAGAGATCAGCTTGTCCGCATCATTAGGCTTTACCGAACAAAAGGTGACCAAAACGATAAAGGTTCGATATAAAAGACTACTCAAGAATTTTACATAAAGCCTGGGTATTTTTCACTTCTACATCTCAAAAGATGTTTAGTTCATACTTAAGAATGAGTAGAAAACAGAAAGTGAAAGATTGCAAGAAATCATAGTGTAAGATTTTCGATTAAATGGAAAGTCACACTGCCCACTTTCGAAGGCACTAGTTTAGAATACTTAAATAAAATTACTGAAAGTAAACTAAGTTACTATTGAGTAAACCTCACTACTGGAAATTAGAAACTACAACTATAGACTTAATTGCTAAGTAAATAACGTAGACGAAAGATGGATAGATTACAATAAATGCCAAGTTTTTATATAGGCTAAATCAAAAGCACACCTTTTTTACATAAAAGGCAAAGTAGAGTGGAGTAATCACAAAGGCCAAAGGTTAAACCTACTTTTCATTAAATTGAGGCTTTTGAATAAACAACTATTTTTGTACCATCTCTTTATGTCTTCTTTTTACTAATCTACAGAAAACAAGACATGGAGTCTTCTAAATAAGCTTTTTGGTTCCCTATTCAGCACTGAACCAGCCTCCAAATTTGTCTTTTTACACATGCTGAATCAAACGTACGCAGTGGCACTGTCGAATCCTACTATGGATGAATTCTCGACTTTTCAGCATAAAAATGTACTAAATGGTTCAAAATTATATAAATGTACACTTTTTCTCAGAAGAGAATATTAGACCAAAAATGAAGATTTAGGAAGCAAAATGGCCGAAATTGACAAAAGAATATCAAAATAAAAGACAATTAAGAACTCTAAAAGTTAGAGTTATCACTCATCGCTAAGAGATCTTGATATACATACCTGTTAATAAAAAAGTGTTAGGCTTGAAGCTTCGTGAGATTAAATAGTTATTGAACAAAACCATAAAATATTTAAACTGAAAGTTGCTTTAATCCAACACTTTAATCAAATAGTAATGAGTGAAGGGTAGAGCAAACTTATTTTTTTTCTTCTTTAGTCTTTCTTGTTTTCTTCCAATTTTTCTTATCTATCTCTCCTTTTTTTTCCCTTACTAGCTCTCTTCTCTTTTTCTCCTTACACTCCCTTCTGAATCTTTCTTCCTTATAATTTCATTTTTTCTACAGCTTCCTTCTTATTTCTCACCTCCAACTTCCCTTTAGAACATGTCTTCTTCCTTTCATCCTTTTTTGACTTCTCTCCTCATCTTCTCTTTTCTTGAATTTCCTTTACCCACTGTGTGACAGTGGCGATGGTGGTCTCCATGGCAATGACTCGCTTTGACCCTAACTCAGTACCCACGACGTTCAGTGACTACTCTTCGGTGATTTCGTTGTTGGTTGGAGGCCGGTTCAAATTGTGAGATACACTATTGATGGTGCGGTCTTCGGTTTCCATAACCTCCGATTCGGTGGTATGGGGTGTTCTCCGGTGAGTGAAACGAGTGGGAGGGTGTGGAGTTTGGGCGGGTCTCTTTGATCTTGCCATGGTGATGTGAACAAATTCATAAACTGATATTTATTCAACGGTTTAAACCAAATACATGAAAGAAAACTGATAATAGACCTATCTAAATGTTAACCAAAGTGATTAACAATAAACAAAGCTTCAAGAAGTAAAAGATGAATCGTAAGAACTAGAGATAATATAAAACTTGTGAGACTGAAAAAATGAATCTGTGTGAGCTAACAATGACTCTTCATGCCTTTATATATAAACTCCATATTAGCAGAAACAGTCCTCCAAGGTTTGATAATGTTGCTCCGCTAACCCTGATGATTTCCCATAAACGAGGCGCACCCCCTTGACTTTGCTCCCTTGACTTTATAAAAGAACTTTAGCTTTTTTGCAATAATAGTCCCTTAACCTTTTAACTTGTTATAACAAATATACAAAAGTAAAGATTGTCAATTAATGATAAATTTCAACATCCCCCCTCAATCTTGACTTTTAAATAAATCAGTCATCTTTAATTAATGATGTTGATTGATTCCAAAAGTCTTTGTGAAAATATCAGCTGGTTGTTCTGATGAAAGGATCTTTTCAATTTTTAATAAACCTTTACTAATAGTTTCACGAACATAATGTATATTGATTTCTATATGGTTAGTTCGCTCATGAAATACAGGGTTATTTGCAATTTGAATTGTAGATTTATTGTCGCAATATAAAGGAACAGGTAACAATTCAGAAATATTAAGATCATAAAGTAACTTTAATACCCACAAAACTTCACATGAAGCAGAGGCCATTGCTCTGTATTCAGATTCTGCTAAAGAGCGTGAAACAGTACTCTGTTACTTACTCTTCCAAGATATCATAGAAGAACCCAAAAATAAACAAAACCTTATTACAGAGCGTCTGGAAGATAAGCACTTACCCCAGTCCGTGTCAACGTAAGCTGTTAGGCAAAAATTACTTGATTTTGTAAAACTAATTTCCTTACTTGGGGAGAGTTTTAGATATCTAAGGACTCTGAGAGCAAGTTTCAAGTGGGACTGCCTAGGAGAGTGCATAAACTGGCTTAAACAATGAACATCAAAAGAGATATCAAGTCTAGTGGCTAGCAGATATATCAACCTTCCAATAAGCCTTTGAAAACTAGTTTGATCATTTAAAGGAGGATCATTTATATTAGACGAATCAGTAACAATCAAGTTCATATCTATGGAGTATTACATGGCTTAGAACCTAAATAACCAACATCATTAAGAAGTTCTAAGCAGTATTTTCTTTGTGACATACATATGCCACTGTCATATTCAAGAATTTCAATTCCCAGAAATAACTTTAATTTTCCTAAGTCTTTTATTAAGAATTTACTTTTCAAGAAATCTTTAACATTATTTACTTCCACATCACAATTCCCAGTTACAACAATATCATCAACATACACTAAAAGAATAACAAAAACAGAT